GAGATGACGAGCTGCTACAGTACTTGAACTCATCACCATGCTTGTCAGAGACACAAGGAATAGGACTGTGATGATGGATTTCCATGCAGAAGAAGCCATGGCTGAGCTATGCAGATGAAAAGCGAAGAAGAATAGAATATAGGAATATGAGAATGCTTTGGTTTGAGATTTGATGAGAATCCATTGTGGTTTTCCTGGTATTTATATAGACGGGGGTAGGTGAGGAATTTGATGTTTGGAGAACCATAAAGAGACTTTTGAGATCTTTTGTTAGTTCGCCAATACTTATATATATATATGTATATATATATAAATTGATCTTCTGGTAAAACTACAAAGTTGGCGGTTCGTAGAGCCTGATGTCATTTTGATTTTTGAGTCTTTCGGGCTGTGAAATCTTTATATATATACATATATATATATATATATATTAAAAAAAATCAATTCAAAATTCAAAATTATAATTTTTTAAATAATAATGAATCACTTCCATACATGTCAAAATTAATTATGAACTCAAAACTATAATTTATAAAATAGAATTTATATAATTTTTGGATAAATTTTTAAGAGAGTATAATTGAAAAACATGTAATAGTAGCTTATGAAACATCCAAAATTTTGAATTCATAATTAATTTTGAAATATAATAAGCATTTGCCACATTAATTCATAATTGATTAGGATCTAATTCACGACAAATTTGCCATGTTCACATTTAAGTGAATAAGAAGTTCAGCACAATAGAACTTGTATTATTCTTGAAAGGAAAATTATATTCTTCCTACAATTCTAAGATATATGATTTTTGTTTAAATTTAGATGAAAAGCCACCCCAATTTTTCTATTTACAAACAGAATAAAAACAGAATTTACCCTGTAAAGAAGAATTTCAAGAATTTTTTTTACAAAAATAAAATAAATATAAGGAAAATGAAAAATAAGTTCCACTCAAATATGCAAATAAAAAGGTGAGATTAGATAATAAAAAGCCTAGAAATTCATCCTAAGGCGAGATAATTATTCTAAAATCCGGAAGAATTCATCTGATATAATTTTTTTTTGTGAAATTAACATTGCTGACCCTCTGTAAAATAATAAAAGGCTTAGTTGTTAAGATATAAATTGAAGTTGTTTACAATGAAGGTAATGTTGTACGTTAATATAGAAAGTATAGTTATTATTGCATCACTAAATTGGGAGTTATGGCCAGTTGTATTGTTAATATCTATATACAAAAATTGTTAATTACTAAAACGAAGTTGTTAACGTAGGGATCGTACTTGTTATTACATAAATAAATTAACAATTGCAATTCCTATATATAGTTTGCAAAAGGTCAAAAATGTAATTTTGCAAAAAAAAATTATTTTAGACTTTCTAAGTAATTGTCTCATTTAGTGGTGCCGTTATATCATACACCTACATATATGAGATTTATTTTCCGTTCTCCCATAAATATATGTGAAGTAAAATTGAAATAAAAAAAGACAGTTATATATCCAATGACAATAAAGAACATATAATATTGTGTTTGGGCGTGTTTGATTTGGGGAAAGTACTTTTCTTGGGCATATTGAACATACACTTTCACTTGATGGTTTGTTAAGGCAAAAAATGAAAAAACATATCTTGATCAAAGGCCATTAGATTTTTTTTTTTTTTGGCCAAAAAATGCCATTAGATGATTTTGGAGAATTTCGCGCTTCAGAGTTTTGATAGCTCATCAACTTCTGACTAGTAACGAGGTGGTTGGCTTTCAGCTCCTAACTCTTCCATACTTTAAAAGTATCTAATCTAAATTTTACAAGAAATTATTAATGTGAAAAAGACAAATTGCTTTGCTATTTTATTTATTTATATTGGGAGAATAACATTTGAGGACTTCGTAAGTAATTTACCACTAAACTTGTGCAATTTTTAGGTAACTCGTGCCAGAATTTGAACACGTTTTTGTATTTATAGGGAAAATGATAAATAAATTTCATTGAAATAGGAAGATGATAAAATAGTACTGTGAAATGTTGTAATTGCTCTAAAATTTATAGGGACTTATTTAACTTTTTTTTTTACTAAATTTACATTTATGTCTCTGTACAAAATAATAGAAAGAGTAGTGTTAAAACCTAAACTGAAATTATTAATTAATAAAGAAGGTAAAGTTATACTATCAAAAAAAAAAAAAAAGAAGGTAAAGTTATAGCCAAACTGAAGTTAAGGCCATCAACTGTGCTGTTAATATCTAAACTGAAGTTATTAATCATTAAATTGAAATTGTTAAGATAGGAAGCGTATTTTGTATATTGAATAACTAAACTAACAACTACGTTTCATATATTAATAACTTCACATTTGGATCTAAATTCTAAGCAACTTCAATTAAGATTTTAACAACTGCACTTTCTATTATTTTGTTGAGGGCCGATCAAAAACATAATTTTGCAAAAAATTATGTTAGATAAGTCCTTAGAAATTTTAGAATAATTACTTCATTTCCTGGTACTTTTTTGTTATTTGCGTATTTCGATGATATTTATTTGCTGTCATTTACAACGCTACCGCTTATAATTTGTCATTAGACTTTTGCAATTTAATTACGAGCCCGTGGCACCAGAATTTGAACATGTTTTCTATAATGGGTTAAGGGATAAAATATATATCCGTTAGTATTCTACAAAAAGTTACAAACATCTTAAATAATATTATGAGGCAATCTTACATATCAATTTAAAAATGAGTTAAGAGCACAAATGATCTTAAACTTGAGTTGGGATTAATTTTATTTCTTAACTTTAAAAATTTAATCTGCTATTATTTTTTTGTTAAGTAAGCCTCATATTTAAATTTTTTAATTTTTATTATTATAAAATATTTTATAGTAAGCGCTACGATTCATTTTTAATATTTCTTATAACATAAAAGATATTGCTTTCTCTCCTCCCTCTCTCCTCTCTCTCTCTCCCCCCCCCCTCCTTCTTCATCTTCGTCTCTCTCTTTGATCTAAGAAGCAGCGCCGCCAAACTAGACCAAACCAGGTTAAGCAACACTAAGTTAATTTTACTCGTTTCCTATGTTGTTGCCTTACATTGCTTTGGAAGCCAGCAACAGTGCACTTGCTGGTCCTTCATCGGCCTTTTCAACCCCTGCTGGTGCCTCCACCGACTGCGACAATAATGAAGATAGTATTGGAGCCTCCTTGCACTAGGCGCACGGCAGGTATGTGTACCAAAGGCTGCCTTCATCTCCACGACTTCATCATCCCATTCGATGAGAACTTCGGCTACGGCTCCTTCTGGGAGGCATCACAAGTGGACTTCGAGGGGAGGTGTTGATGGTGGCAAAGTTCTCTCTCTCTCTCTCTCTCCTCCTCTTTGATGCATGCGTGCATCTTCTTGAGACTCGCCCTTGCTCCTTCGTGATCTCCACAGTCGATCATGAAGTTCCAAGTGTCGAGAAGGAAGAAGCTGCCGACGGTGATGATGAGTGCCGGAACAGGGGATGGAGAAGATAAGGAGGTTTCAGAATGGCTTGGATGTGAGAGGTGTTGGACAAAGAGATGGAGAAGATAAAGAGGCTTCAAAATGGGTCAGGTGTGAGAAGGGTGGCATTGGAGGGAGAGAAAGGGAGGAAAGTCCTCTTGCTGCGGCGGAAGCCATAGCTAAGAGCTTCAGAGAGTGGGTCATCAATGGAATCAAGAAGGAGGGTGAATCTAAGCATGGCCGTGTTTGGAGGGCTTGCTTGTGCAAGTTGCTCTGCATGGTGTTTGATGTGGGGACTGGCTACCACATCAGTTTGTTTCATGAGCACTGTGTTGCCCCTATTTGGTTATGATGCTTCCCCTTCAGTTTGGCCAAGGTTGACGGTGAGAGCATGAGCGTGATGGAGGAAGTAGCTAATGTTGTTGAGGACGGTGCCGGTGAAGGGAACTGTGAACTGGAGCTTACACTGTAACATTGAGAGAGTGGGGAGGAGAAAGGGAAAGGGAGATGTAAAAAAATAAAAAATCTGGAGTGGGCCCTACTAATAAATAATTAACGACAGTGTCATGGAGCAAATAAAACTATGATGTTAAGAGATAAAATTGACATTTAATTAAGTTTAAGATTATTCATGAATTTTCATATACAGTTTAAAAATAAAAAATGATATTTAATTCTTTAAAAAAATATGCAAAAATCTTAGATTCATAATGGAGGACCGATGTCCTTTAAGTAAGAGCTGTGGATCTCTCATACTATACCAAAAAGGTACAAAAATAAATTAAACATCCTAAACTAAGTTGTGTGTGTGTGTAAGAGAGAGAGAGAGAGAGAGAGAGAGAGATAACCACATAAACAGATTTGAATGAACATTTGTCCTAAAGTTGCCTACCTGCAAAGAGTTGAAAACTCATTTATTCTCATCGACTTGGCATTCTTATTCTATATCTGTTCTTTAAATGAAAAGCTAATTGATTTGTTTCTTATAAGATGATGAATTATTTTATTGGATGAATCTAGTTGGTTATATATTGTATGATGATTGTGTGGATCTGTGACCGCTGCGACCGACGGGAAGAGGAGGAACAAGGATGGATGAGGAAAAAATTATTGGTAATTTTATATTTATTTTTATTTAATGAAATCAATATTATTTAAAAAAAACAGGGATGATGGCAATACTGCTTTATAGTGTAGTTTAACGCACGTGTGCTGTAGGTTCTTGCAGAATACTTTATACGGGTATTTGTGCACTAAGCTCAACTTGTGAGATTCACAACCCTTACTTAATGGATATATACCTCTATCACATATTAAAGATTTTTGCATTGTTTTCAAGATTGGTGAGTAAAATTGTACTATAGCGTAATTTAGGGTGTCTGTACTTGTAAAATATTGAGTACTTTTACCCCAATTTTTTAAAATTTGCAAGTGGTCCTTCATAAATTAATTTGTTATCGATCATGATAATTTGATGGTAGTATAATAAGATGTATCATAAACAATAGTATCATCACAACGTTATCAGAACAGAATCATTGTATAATAAGATGTATCATAAACAATAGTATCATCAATAACAAGAAATCCACACCAGAATAATACCCAAAAAACTGAAAAAGAAAACAAATAAAATATAGGATCACATACAACTGTCACTCACATACAGAGACAGAAGAAGAGTATAATCAAAGCCCATACAAATGGTCGAATTAGATGTGTGTGTGCTGGATAACTACTACGGATCCGATCAAAGCAACCAACACAGTGCAGTGAATAAGCGAACGATTTGATGAGATTAATTGGAAGGAGGAGGAGAGAGGAATGGAATGGAGGGCATAGTGGTAGGGATGGTGGGAATGGAGGGAATGTTTGGGAAGGATGATGGCAATGGAGGAAGAGAAACCTGCGGCACTGTCGGAATGGTAGGCATGGAAGGAAGATTCGGAATGTTTGTGGGCAAAGGAGGAACATTGTTTGGCTGCGGCATTGTTATTGGGATTGAAGGCAAAGGTGGTAATCCTGTTGGCTTAGGCAAGTTACTTGGAATTCCAGGCATGTTTGGTATCGAAGGCTGTGTCGTTTGCAGAAGATGACGACCAGCTACGACACTCGAACTCATCATCATGCTTGAGAATGTGAGAGCCACAAGGAAAGTTACGAGGATGGAGTTCCCAGAAGTAGAAGCCATGCTGGATTGTGAAGTGTTGAAGAGTATTGGGGAAGATGAGAGGATGCTTTGGCCTCTGGGTAATTATTTGATGAGAATCGATGTGGGTTCATGGTGTTATATATAGATGTAGAAGAAGGTAGACGTAGGGCTTGTGTGGTTTTGGTAGGTCACCAATTCCTTGTATATATATTTCTTAGTGGTTGGACTGAAATATCAATCGGTGGTTATTATTTTAATTCAGAACATTCAAACGTAGGATCACCTACTTGGTAAAATATTTTATAAGTGACACAACAAAAGAAGAGGAAAAGGGAAGGAAACAAAAGGCTGCTACTTTTATTACATTCTTTTTATTTTTTTTATGCTGAATTTTGAAGCCTGGGTTGGACTAATATTGATTTTGAGAACATATTGAGGTGGTCTAAATAGGTTTAGATTACTCTTCCTATACAATGGGGTTTTCAACGATATACTTTTTTTTTTTTCCTTTGTTTATGAATTTCGACCTTTGTGAATCCAACACTGAGAAAATTTTGGTCTATTACTAAAAAATCATATAAATTTCAACTATGAACATATATATGTATGTATTTACCGTGAGTGTGTATACGGGCCCAGTTTTTATATTTTTATTTTATGTTTATTACAAAAAATTATAAAATTTTAATAAATATATCTTATTATTAATCTCAAAAATAAAGATTTAATCTGAATTGTCTAATTTAATATTAAAATTTTTGTAATTTTTATAAATTGACTATACAAATATATTCTGAACAACCTAAATTTAATATTAAATTTTTTTAACAATTTTATAAATTTTTTTTATTAAATACAATATTAAAATATAAAAATAAAAATAATATTCAAACTAGAACTTTAAAAAAATATAACAAATCACAACTTAAAAATGTTAAATCTAAACTATTTAAAGTATATCTAAATAGTCAATTTATAATAATTGTAAAAATAATTAATATTAAATTTATCATTCAAATTAAATTTATATTATCTAGATTGATGATAAAATATATTCATTAAAATTTTATATTTTTAAATAAATATAAAATAAAATATATAAATTTATACTGTCCAGATTGCTTTTCGTCTCATGTGTATTAAATAGATCTTTTGTTCTTTCTCCGCGAGTTGGTATATCCGGGAATTTTAAGAGAAGTACTCTCACGTACGCATATATATTCGAATCTGGGGCACAATGTATACAGTCATTCACTTGTTCACTTATTAAATAAGCCAGGTAAGTCCCACGAATTTACTTTGTTATAATTAGTTTTTGCTTCTCAAATATCATATGCTTTCTCTATTAAAAAATATAAAATATTTTTTTAAAAGTTAGATGTTCAAAAAATATAAGATATTTTTACTCTTTTGAGATATAATCATTATCTTTTTTCTAAAAATATTCTTATTAATGAATGATTTTATATTTATTGTAAGGTATTTAATAAACATTAATATAAAAAGATAAGTTTAGTTTAAAAGTAGGTGACTATTTTATTAAAAAGTAAAATTTTGTTAAAAATACCTTACAATTTTAAAGAGAGAGAATATGCCTTTGTGTTTTGCTAATATTGACCGGTGTTGACTGGCACCCACACCAGCAGTATCGACCAGTCTAAAAATGTTTTCTAGAAAATAATTTTATGAAAATTTTAATATTTTGGCATTTACAGGTCAATATATTATAATTAATATTTACTTTTAAATCTATGATATTTGACTTGTAAATATAATATGTTTGAATTTTAAATAGTAAATTATTAATATTTTAATAAAAATATATAACCTTAAAGTAATAGTATTTCAACGTCAAAAAAAGAGAATACTTTTTTTTAAAAAAAGTATGACTATAGTTATTTCTATGATATCTTTTTAAAGAAATAGAAAAAAGAATATCTTTGGAGATTATTCATCAAGAAATTTAAAACAAAAAAAATAATAGAAAATATATAAAAATAAAATATCAAAGAATTATCTTGTAAGTTATCTCCCACCATATTTTTAATAAACTAAAGAAATAATCATGAGTCAGTATACCCTACCTATGTGATGTGAAACAGGGAGGGGGAAGGGTATGACGGGAAAAAAAAAACAGAGAGAAAAGGGAGAAGGAGATAAAAGAGTTCTAAAAATATTAAAAATAATAATGAATTAAATTTTAATATAACAAGATAATCTAGATTTAGACTTAATTATATATTATAGATATGCATTTTATTAAAAGAAATAATATTTAAATAATTATAAAAGTGGTGATAGGAAAATTCAATTAATTAAATCATAATTAATCTAAGGGATATTTCAAATATTTTTTATTCAAATATCTTAATAAATAACTCTAACTATATATTATCCCATATCTCACCACTAAAATAGATTAGAATATAAATTAAACGATATCCAAATGTTATTATCTGGCAAGATTTTAACTGATCCCATTATTCATGGGATTTTCTAAATATCTTATCTTAAAAAAAAAAAACTATCTCTAAATCCTCTATAAATAAAGATCAGGAGATAACACTTGTGAAGAAGGCGATTTGCGAAAAAGAAACGTAGAAGCCAAAGGACGTTTTCAAAGGTACGAACCCTAAATCTAAATCTAAATTCTCTACAATCACAATCATTAGCTTTCTTTTATACATCGTGTGTTTCTGAAACCACAAAACTTTGCACACTATTTTCTCTTCTTATTTTTTTTTTCCATACATGGTAGCATCTGTTAATTCCGTATACTCGTACGTCATCATCCACATGCTCATGTTATTGTCACTAATGGTCTTGTAGCCCTAGTTATTGGTTTAATTCCTCCCCAATTATATGCGACTTCAAAGAACAAAGGTTTTTTCGGAGGAAAAAAAAAAGATTTGATTATTTTCATGAAAAAGGATTTTTAGTATTTTTTTTTTTATCTACTGTGCTGGTTTAGGCAGGATATATATAAATAAATATGACATCACATGTTAATAAATCTTGAGAGTCTTTTCCATCCTTCTCACACTTGACAATCCAACAATAACATATAATAATATAATCAAAATAATTTTGATGTGTTGCTTTGATCCCTGTCTCAGACCTGATCGAATTGTTTTTTTTTTTTTTTCGTTAACCTGAAAGTCTTTGGTTAAATTCACCCCCAAGGCTTCGCACGCATACAATTTTGAGATGCCTTGAACTCATTTTGATGATCTTTTCATTTTAGGAAAAAAAAAAAAGGTTTTCCAATATTCTGATTTTTCGAAAATTTTGGTGGAGAGTCCATTAATTTATTTTTTTATTTTAGTAATAAGCTATTTTCTGGTGTGACTAGTATTATGTATGTCTATACACATACATACATCTATATATATTTGAAACCACAAAAGGTTAAAACAGGGTCCATTCTTTAAAAATTTTAAAAAGAAACATTTTTAGATAGTTTAAAATTTTAAAAAATATGTTTATTCTGTAGATATTATTATTTAATATTTTAGATTCATGATATTTTCGTTGATCTCTTTCATAAAAACATTATTATTTAATTATTTTAAATTTATGATATCTTTGTATATTTTCATATGCTTATATTATTTAGGATTTAATTTATATTTTTTATTTTATTTTTTATGCCATTATCCCTCATTTTTTATATCAGATAATTTTCAAAAGGAGTAGATTTTGATTATTTTGAAAGTTTAAACAATATAGTAAAATTCCAAAAAAAAAATTTAATTATATATTCTTTTTAATCTTAAATATCAAAACATAAAATTATTTGAAACTCTAGACATTAACAAGATAATTACCTTCGTCACATACAATTACTTGTTATCTTTTGTTGAGAATATAGTTTTTTTCATTATAAATGATAAACAATATCTTAAAAGTGAAAAATTCAAATCTAATGATGCTCTGTGTGTGTGTGTGTGTGTGTTGTGTGTATTTAAATTTAAATTAATTAATTTTATATCATCATCTCACCCAACCTTCGTATATATATTGTGCCAGATTCTTTTCCAAAGCCAACGAAAAGTGATCGAGTTAATTATCAGAGTGAGAGAGATCAGAAAAGTTATTAGATCAGATATTCAACGAAGATGCCAACAGGGTTCAGATTCAATCCAAAGATATTGAACTGATCAGAGACTATCTTTACAACAAAGTCACAGGACAAGACTTACCTAGCCAAGGTCGTACTGTAATCGTTGAGCATGATCTTTACGGTTCTGAGAATCCGTGGGAAATGTGGCAACGTTTCCGTGAGAAAGTGGTGAGATCGGGTCATTGTGAAGATCTCTATGTCTTCACAAGACTCAAGAGAAAGAGTCCTCAAGCTAAAATGTTGAGAGGAAGGTCGGATCAGGCGCTTGGGAAGGTGAAGCTGTTGCCAGAAAGGTCGTAATCCAAAGCCAAACCGGTGACGACGTCGTTGTGCTGGCTTCATGAGGAGGTTTCCGGTTCGAGAAAAGCCGAACCGATCAAGATGGCAAGTGGATCATGCATGAGTATTCGCTTAATCCGTCGCTCTTTCACGACCTCAAAGTAAGTATATTATTTATTTTACTCCAAATTTCTTTTATCTGCTTAATTATTATGTTTTTTTTTATTCTTTTTATTTCACTGCTTTTGCCTGATTTTTATCAGTTTTTCTGTTTATTCAATTCAATCAAGCCAGTCCAATTCAAGAATATATTTCAAAGTTTTAGGGATTTTCATTGGCAAAAATTAAATTTCAAAGAATAAATTGATAATTTAGGAAAATTTTGAGGGCCCTAAAGTTTCATCATCTCAACATATGCACTTTGTATATAATAATATGTTTTTCTTTTATAAGTTTATATATATATGTACTTGACTATTTTTATTTTACATTGCATTTATACAAGGAATAATATTTTTTTGAAATTTACAGGTGAAAGATTATGTTATATGTCGAATACGAAAAAATGATAGAGCTATTAAACATCAAAATAAAAGAAAAGAGCCTGGAAGCAAGCCAACAAAAAAATTATGAAGAGCAGAACATAATCAAATAATAATCCTGCAAGAGGGCAAGAAGAGACGAAGAACAAAGGCAAAAGGAAATCAAAAAG